TCCCACCCCGCCCCTGCCTCTTTGCAATACGGCTCTGCTGCTTCTCCCACCCAGGAGTGAAGTCTCTCCACTCCTGGAATCTGGGCCATGCGATCTGCTTTGGCCCACGGAACAGAAGCAATGGTACTGCAAGGCGAGGCTGCGAAGCACATGCGCGCTGGGGCTCGCCCTCTCTCCCCACACGCGGGGTCTGGCCGCAGGAAGGAGACAGGTAAGCCCCATCGCCCTGTCATTCCGGCCAAAAGCCTCCCAACTGCCTGCCGTGCAGGAATCCTAGATCCTTCAGCTGCCAGCCCACCTGCCAGCTGACCAGACACGTGAGCAGGCCCAGTCGATGCCAGCCCAGCAGCTCAGAGGAGAACTGCCCAGCCAAGCCACTGAACTACGAGCCAGTCATGAGTGGGGGCTGTGCTAAGCCACTGAAGTATGGGTTGGGTTGTCCCCATCGTGAGTCTCTGCTCAGATGTCTCTCCTCCGAGAGGCCCTCCCCAACCACCTGAGATCAAACGGCGCCGGGCCCATTACTCTCTAAACCCTGCTTTACTTTTGTTGCAGCACCTACTGCTACCTGACAATACAGTCCACACCAACTTATTTGTTTTAATGAGTCTTCCCACTAAGATGGAAGATCTGAGGGCGGGAACTCTGTTGACTTTGTTCACTCTTCTATCGCTCCTGAGACCCTGAGATGGAAGAGGCCTGGAGAAGGAGAAGGGGGCAGATTTGGGTGATGGGATCAGTGTCAGGGACAAATGCCAGCTCCCCTCATGAAAGCAAGACACAGCATCCCAGCTCTCCCTTTGTTTGCCTGGCAAGATGCTCTGCGAGGCCATGGAATTCGGGGTGGCTCCAAAAGCCACTGCTCTCCTCTGAGCTCATAGCCATGCTCCACATTCATTTGCCTCTGGTGTACCAATTAGTATTTATATACACAGAAATTAATTTAGTTGTTTCTTGTGCAGGGTTCAACTCTCTCAGCTCCTTTCCTATTCACCACTGCCGATGTGTGCAAAATGTCCAAAATGAGTGTCATCTGCAAACTCACAAGTCACACATCCCCTTTCAAAGCATGAACAGGACTGGCCGCATTTACCAAGCCCAACAGATCCCCAGTAACTTCCCCAGAGCTCTCCTCATGCACACAGGCTGGTCAAGGGGCTTCAGGATTTTGCATAGAGAGAGGAAAAAGCCAGAGGCTCAAGAAGAGAGACTCAGAAATCACAGGCTCAGACGTGCAGAGGGTGCTTGGCCAACATCTCCTCCTGCCTCCCTACCGAGTGGAGAGCAGAGAAACTGCACTGTCCTTGCAGAAAAAAGGCCTCTGAGCTCTACTCTAAGGCACTGCAATCACATTTCTGAGAAAGGTCAGAAGCTGGCTCAGTGGGAAAGACATTTACAGACAGCATCGCTGGGGAAATAATCAGGTGCAGGGGACAGCGCTGCTTCTGGCTGGCCAGCCGGCCCTCCTTCCTTCCTCTCGTAGCTGCACTCTGACCTCCTCCAGAGCAGTTTGCGTGGCCAGTGCTCAGCACTGGCTCCAGGGATGGGCCCTTGGTCCAGGCCTGGCTGCTGCATTTTCCACCTCAACCTCCCACTCCCTCCCAGTCCTGTGAGCCCCAGTAACTGGTTTAAAGATGTTTGGGCTTGTGATCCACGCCAGGCTCAGGATATGTAATTCTGGGATAGTTGTTGAACTTAGTGGGAAACAGAAGTTCTCTTTTAGTTGTGTTTTCCGGGCAGAAGGTAAATGTAAACAGAGTCTAAATGAAAGGGCAAGAGAGAGCAAAACCGCCCGGCCGGCGGGGCTCAGGGGTTGAGCATCCACCTAGGATCTGGGAGGTCGCGGTTCAATTCCCAGTCAGGGCACATGCCCGGGTTGCGGGCTCGATCCCCAGTCGGGGGCGTGCAGGAGGCAGCCGATCAATGACTCTCATCATTGATGTTTCTATCTCTCTCTCCCTCTCCTTTCCTCTCTCTGAAATCAATAAAGATATATTAAAAAAAAAAAAAAGGGAGAGAGAGAGCAAAACAGGGCAGAGAGATGGAGGGAGATGCCAAGCCTTCGTGACGTCATTTGCACACCCGGTTCCAGCTGGGTGGGAAACTAGCAACCCCTGACCTTTTTATTGCATAAGCCAATAAATTCCCTTTTTTGTTTAACTCAGTTTGAATTCAGTCTCCACTGTCCACCCAGGACGGGGAGGAGGAGAGGAAGAGGAATCCTGACCACGGCAGGGGAGAGCCGACAACAAGGCATGACCAGTGTCTTCCAGAACCTGGGCTCTGTGGGGTACTGAGGTCACACACAGACCTCTGCTGGGAGGCGCTTCACAGCGAGATCCCTGAGGCCCAGGGCTCAGTGAGGGGGGGGTTTGCGTTCAGATGCTCAGTTCCATTCTTGGCCCTAGTACCAGCTGTGTGGCCCTAGGAGGATGCTCAGTCTCTCTGAGCCTCAGCTTCCTGACCTAATCTAGAGAGTGGCGGGAATAAGCTGTGAATGTCCCAAGAGGTAAGGCAGGGGAGCCCCAGCATGGTAGCTGAAAGGGGGTGAGGCCACGCCTCCAATCAGGCTCTGCCTATACTCGCTTGGACTTTTAAATTACTCTGTTGTCCTAAAGCACTTGAGAGAGTCCTGGAACGTAAGGGCGGCGAGGACTCAAAGTAAGGCCTCTTCCTCTCTCCTAAGAGGTAATTGGTCTTTGCGGGGCGAGTGTGGGAGGGACGAATTCTCACTGGGCACAGTGGGGGGCCTGAGATGATGGTGGGGAGGTGGGGAGAGGGAGCGTGACAATGGCACGGCGCATCTCCTGTCAGAAGTTAACTGGAAGGAATGACATGCACAGAGGCAAGAGAGAGCAGGAGGTGAGGCAGCGAGGAGCAAGCGGGTGAGCCGCAGAGCCCTGTTAACAGGGAGCAGGAGAGAGGACACTGCAGTTGCTGCCACCTCTGGCCTGAAGAGTCCCAGATGCAGGCAGAGGGCTGGCCTGAGGTGCGTGGAGTAGGAGGAGCGGCCGCAGGGTCAGATGGGAAAGACGAGAGAACAGACATGGTAAAACCCAGATGGGATTTGCTCAGAGGCCACCAACCGGCGGCCAGCTGGCCAAATACATAGCATGTGTTTTGTTTGGCTCATTAGTTGTTTAAAAATATTATAAAATTAGTTACTAACATTTAAAAAGCTGAAGATTTCACATAAAAATCCAAATTTCTGACTTCTCAGAAGACTTGGCATCTGCCCACCTGGGGCAGGGAGAAGGCAGGCTTCTTCGCTCCTGCTGGTTTCGGCCCCGCTTGCCCCACAGCCTCCATCTCTGTGCAGACCCTGTCCCAGGTGACCAGGACTTCCCCAACCCCTGAAGGTCCTCCTTCCACCTGACACTGCCCAGCACAGGGTACTCACAAATCCCGTGGTAGACGCCCGGTTCTGGAGTGGCAACTTCGGGGACAGGGGTATCGGCTGGCAGCTCTAGTTCTGGGACCTGCACACAGTTAGGGGAGAAGCAGAGGAAAGGGGCTGATTTTAGTGATGCCCATTTGGCTAGCTAGTAAGTTTTCCTGCTACTGCTGCCCAGGTAAGTCCCTGTGTCTTTTCTTGTGTTTTCTGTCTTTGTGGAGGCTCGTGACTGGTAGTATGAACAGGCCCAGGAACCCTCGTGTGTCTGAGCCCTTGTGAGAAGCTCTTACTGGTAGGGGAGGAGTCTGACACTACCAGAGAAAGACCCTATCAGTGTTTATCTAGTCAGCTACAGGGAGGGAGGGA